ATTGCAACTCCCTGTTGAACGACTACCCATCCGACAAGTGTATACGCATCGTCAGGTACGGGCTCCTCCTCCAGCTTCGTCATCGTCAACAGATCCGGCAGTTGTTCCCACCCCAGCCCCACTCCCTGTTTCTGACCTTGATCTTCCTATTGCTTTGTGGGAAGGTAAACACAGTTGCACTCTTCACCCCATTTCCAATTATGTTTCTGTATCTCACCTTTCGGCTTCCCATCGCCAATTTGTTTCTATATTATTCTCTGTCTCTATTCCAAAGGATGTCCAGGAAGCTCTCACTTCTCTAGGGTGGCACCAAGCAATGGAGGAAGAACTCTCGGCCTTGACTCGTACTCATACGTGGGACCTCACCACTCTTCCACCTAGTAAGCATGTTGTAGGCTGTAAGTGGGTGTACACTATTAAATATTTGCCTGATGGGAGTGTTGAACGGTTGAAAGCTCAGTTAGTTGCCAAAGGCTTTTCACAGCTGTATGGTATCGATTACATAGACACTTTCTCCCCTATTGCCAAAACTGGTTTTGTTCGTCTTCTGATCTCCCTTGCTGCTAGGTATGATTGGCCCTTGTTTCAGCTTGACATCAAGAATGCCTTTTCACATGGTGATCTCCTTGAGGAAGTGTACATGGAGCAACCACCAGGGTTTGATGCTCAGGGGGAGGGTAATAAGGTATTTAGACTTAAGAAGGCTATTTATGGGCTTAAACAATCCCCATGTGCATGGTTTGGTAGATTTAGTGAAGTGGGGAAGAAATTTGGCATGAAACAGTGTCGGGTTGACCATTCCATATTCAGCTATGAGTCCAGTGCTGGGAAGATCTTATTGGTGGTGTATGTAGATGTATCATTTGCAGTGATAGACCAGGGATTGACAGGTTGACTTACTTGCATGATCACTTCCAAACAAAGGATCTTGGCAAATTAAGGTACTTCCTAGGGATAGAATTAGTGAGGTCCAAGAATGGTATTAATTTGTGCTAGAGGAAATATGTCCTTAATTTGCTAGAGGAGACAGGGTTGTTAGGTGCCAGACCAGTTGAAACACCCATGGAACCAAATGTCAAGTTGAGTAGTGATGCAGGTGAGGAGTTTAAAGATCCTGGAAGGTATAAAAGGTTGGTAGGTAAGCTGAATTACCTAACCATCACTCGGCCCGAGATCTCATTTACAGTTAGTGTAGTGAGTCAGTTTATGCGGAATACTTGAATTCCACATTGGGAGGCGGTTCTAAGGATTGTACAATACTTGAAGGGAGCTCCAAGTCATGGTTTGTTGTATAAGAGTGGATGAAGTCTTGAGATAGAGGGACACACAGATGCTGATTGGGCCAATTCTATATCTGACAGAAGGTCTACTACAAGGTATTGCACTTTTCTTGGTGGCAACTTAGTGACATGGAAGAGTAAGAAGCAGACAATGGTAGAAAGTAGTACAGAGGCTGAATATAGAGCCATGGCACACACATGTGAACAAGTGTGGTTGAACCATCTCCTAGAGGAAATGGAGTACTCGATTGACATTCCTATGAAGCTATATTGTGATAATCAAGCTGCAGTTCATATCTCCTCTAATCCAGTGTTTCATGGAAGAACAAAGCATATAGAAGTTGATTGCCACTTTGTACATGAAAAGGTGCTTAATGGAGTGATAAGTACAACATATGTGAACACAGGAAATCAATGGATAAATCTATTTACCAAAGGTTTGAGTCGGGGAAGAATGGACTACATATGTAACAAGCTGGGATTATATGATATATACTCACCAGCTTGAGGGGGGGTGTTAGAGTCGGCAGTAGAGGGGTAATATAGGCATTTTACATTAAGTTATATGCTATATGTAATTATGAGTAGATCTTAAATTAGTTGATGTCTTTCTCACTTAAGTGAGGGCATAAGAGTAATTCTCATTTGTTTAGAAAGGTATAAATAAAGCATGGCCGACTAGATAGGGTGATTTTTCTCTCTAGTTCGACCAGAACAGTTTTCTCTTCTTCTTACTATTTCTACAGATTCTTCTTATTATTATCTAGAATTATAAGGACACTATACCTGAATTCTATCAAGAGGTACAAAACTAAACTTTGGATAGCTTATGATATGGCAGTTTTAAACACCTTTTCCAAAAGAATGATGAATGCTTAACAACATTTAAAAGTAGGTCAAACATAAGTCAAATAGATTTTTTCCTTACGAGAACAAAATGAAAGATGTGTAAAGATTGCAATGTTATTTCATGAGAATGCTTGACAACAAAACATATATAGTGGTGGCAGATGTGTGCATTAGGAAATGGAAGAGAAATAGGAAAGAAAATGGGTGTTCAAGAATTAAGTGGGGAAGCCTAAAGGGGAAAAACTATCTCAATTTAGAAGTAGATTGATAATAGAAGGGACTTGGAATTTAGATAAAAGATTAATGATATTTGGCTTGAAAAGGCAAATAATATAAAAAAAAAGTAACAAAGGATGTCTTAGGAAAATATAAAGGGAAGTGGCAAGGTATTAAAGAAACTTGGTGGTGGAGTGAAGAGGATCAAAATATAATTAGATCAAAATGAGCATGCTATAAAGAATGGTAAAAAGCTAGAAATGTAGAAAACTAGGGAAAATATAAAACCATAAGAAAGAAAGTTAAAAAGAAAGTGAATAAAGTAAAATGCAAGGCTTATGATGAAACTTTATTATACATTAGGCACTAAAGAGGGAGAAAAAAGAATGTATAAACTAGCAAGGTTGAGAGAAAGGAAAGGCAGAGATTTAAACCATATCTAGGTGCATTAATGATAAAGATCAAAGAGTCTTGATAAAAGATGAAGAAATCAAACAAAGATGGAAAACGTATTTTGAAAAATTATTTAATGAACAATAGAAAAAGGGTGCTAATGAAGGAGAATCTAGTAATACTAGTAGTGCTAAAAACAAATACATATCTTCCATAGTTTTAAGGAGCCTTGTCACATAGGCGATGGACTTTTTTATTTTTAAGTAAAAACGTATTTCCTAGGGTACCATAGGTTTCATAACCATATTTCCTAAATAATTATCCACAATTTTCATAAGAAAATTATAAATCTCATGTTAAAATATAGAAAATCAAAATATTCATAAGAAGAAGAAAGAAAAGAAAGTTCAAAAAATATGGGGGCTGAACCCCTATTTGTTATAGGAAAAGAAGAAAAAGAAGAAGGAAGAAGAAGGGATAATGTGTTGATTAAACAAAATTTTAAGTTCTTCCTTACTTATTGATCCAGGTTTTGAAGTCTTTGAGGATTAAATATAACATTTACCAAGGTTTGACTTGATTAAACCCTAACAAATAAGAAAATAATAAAAATAAATTAGTATATAAACATATAAAATGAATATTTTAGTTCGATAATGTCTATTTTATAATTACAATCTCAAAAAGTTAAGAATATAGAAGTATTTTATAAACAACGTACAAAATTGCTTGGTGATTAGGCGACACGATTCTCCAAGGGCACCTTGTCACCTAAGCATCGCCTTGACAACTATGGTACCTTCATAGGCCTACTGAAGTAAAAGAGGCACTAAATAAGATGAAGAAGGGAAAAACATTAAGACCTAATGGAATTCCAAAAGATGTATGGAAAGGTATGGGAGAGGTAGCCTTGTTATGGCTAGTCAAGCTATTTAATAAGATAGTGAAAGAAGAAAACATGCCTGATGGTTGGGGAAACAACGTATGGAGCCTATATTTAAGAACAAAGGTGATATACAAAGTTGTAATAACTATCGGGGGATTAAACTTATGAACCATACTATAAAAATTCAAGAGAGGAAAAAAAAAGTTCAGAGAGAAGAAAAACATCTCCATATGGTGTTCATTGATCTAGAAAAGGCATATGATAGAGTTCCTACAGAGATATATGGTGGGTCTTAAAAAAGAAAGGGGTTCAAAATAGGTATATAGAACTAATTAAGGATATGTATGAGGGTGCAACAAGCAATGTTAGAGCAAGGTTCAACACTTGACCCTTAACTATTTGCACTGATCAATATAGGAGCATACTGATTTTTTTTTGTATTTTCTGATTTTGAGAAATTTTCTGTTTTAGGGGAATTTTAGTAATTTTACTTAATGACAGTGGGGTCTAATTTGATAGCTATTGCTTTTTAAGTCTGGTTAAATATTTCATAGTCATATGATAAGTAGAATAAGAATTATGATGTTTTCTTTGTGCTGAAGTTTTCTGAAGTGGTGTAATTCATGTGTGTTTCATCTCAATATAAACCTTTGTTGTCTCTTTTCTCTTTTTATTAAGATCATCTGGTTAACATCTCTTACCAGAGTGAGAATCATGGATTTAATATCATGTTTTTGTATTGTTTCCTTTTTCTGAGATGTAATGGTGTAATCTCTGTGCTGGGAATCTTTGTTTGTTACAAAAAAAGGACTTTCATTATGGAAGATTTTCACCGCTTTGTGTCCAAACTACTGAGAAGCTTTTAAAGTTAAATTGCTCCATTCATCTATGTCTCTAAACTTTCATACAAAATTTGACAGAAAAGTACCATTCCTAAACCTACTTTCTTGGTTATTGCAAATTTCATCAGTTGAGGAAGAAACAAAGGAATTATTAAAACTGATCTAAAAACCTTTATAGACCAAGTCGTAGATAGTTCCACTAAACACTCCAAAAGCTGCAAGTCACCTTCTTGAGTCATGTGTTTAATTGATTAGCCCTTCAGCCTTGCAAAACATTTTCTTCTTGATCTATTAGGCCCTTAAGAAATCTTAAGAAGGTAAGTTACTTTTTCTGGGAGGGCCACACTGCCCTCTGATTGTACTGGTCTTCTGTGTACCCTTGAAGCAGTAAATGCATGGATAGACACATGGACAAGTTTTGATTCAGCCAAAAACAAATTGCATCCCTAGTTAATGTAACAGTGTACGATGGAATAGTAAGGAAACACATATTGCATGCATAAATTAAATAAAATTAACAACCAACAAACTTACAACTGAAATAATGTCTGCTGCTAGCCTTTTCTCATATGATGGAGGCCCAACTTTTGCATCTAGAATCACTTGGCGAACGGACCTTGATATTAACTGTAAGAGAGTTCAGAATAGACATTTCTTTGTCTCAATTAATTCTCATACAAAAAGGTTTCAAAATGTAAAGGTAAGAAAGAAAAACATATAATGGCATGATCCAGTTCATGCAAAAGATGGTCACTGTTAGAGGTTCCACAATTAATGTAAAATATTCATCATTAGCAATGATAATAATCAAAAGATCAAATAATATAAGCTGGGGAAAATAATTAATAAGATGAGTAGGATAACTATTGAATATACCCCCAATGCATCTTCAGTGGTAGGGATTCCTTCATTCTGAAACTCTTGAGGGTACTGATGGCTTCCACCATTCAGTGCTTTTATCTACAACCACAAACTAAAACACATTCTCAATCAATATGACTCGTGAAAAGCTTTTAAAAAATCAATGAAAAACATAGTTAATGCCAGAAATCCCAAGTCCAATATATATGGTTCAGTCTGTCTTTCAACATATTATCTTTATTTATTTATTGACCAGTAACAGAAGAAATTTTAATAGATTTAACTGTACCTGGCATTGCAAATGATCCCTGAAACCCTTGAGGTTACTGATAGCTTCCACCATTCAGTCCTTTTATCTACAACCACAAACTAAAACAAATGATCCCTGAATCCCTCCCGTTTAGCAAGTGTGTCAGCCAAACCATCTTTTGATCTGCTAATCCATATGAAAGAAACCTCTATTTCTCTTTTCAGTGCATTAAATTCCCTTGGAACCTCCGGAACTTCCAAATCCATTGACTGTTACTCTTCAGCCACCCCAACACCTTGCAGCAGGATAATAATGCAGCTCACAGTGAGTTCTGTCCCTATTGGACCTGAATGCCCCTTGACCATTCCTAAATACACCACCAATCCCAGAATGACTAGGTTACTAATTGCACTCCTATCGAAATTCTGCTTTACTTCGTTGCTTCTTGGGGGTTTCTATTGAAGTTGAACCTGAATCTGAAGAGTAGAGGAGGCTGCAACTGCACCCCAATTCCTCACTAGAAGTCTAGATCATCCACTGAATAACGCTTAAAGATTTCCATTGTCTTCACCCAATGGATTACCTTCATAGTGATGCTTTCAATAACCGCCTCCAAGGACCTGCATTGCTCCTTGAACAACCTGTTGTTCCTCTCCTCCCAATTTGTCCACAGAATTGCTACTATGGTAACTCAACAAATTATGTTTCCCCTTCTTTTGGGTAGGTCGACTACCCTTGAACTAAATAGACTAGTTGCGTTCTGAAGCGGAGTCCATCTACATCCAAAGAGAGAAAAAATGTCCCAAGCTCTAGACAAGAAAGAACTGGAGATCGATAAGTGGGGTTAAGTCTCACCACTAGCTTTGCACAAGATGCAGATATGAGATGTGAGGCAACTATTGAGCCTCTAGATCATATAAAAAATGTTTGTTTTACTGAGGACTACTTCAAACAAAAAAGCCTCAAAGTAAGGTGGTATAGGGTTGCCCCAGACCTCTTTCACAGGGAAATTAGCCACTGTAGAAAAAGACCAAAGAAGAGCATCAAAGAAAGAAGTGCATGAGAAGTTGAGAACACCAGAAGGAGGTGACCAACTCCGACAGTCCATTAAAAAGTTATCCAAGAAAACAGAAGCCAAAAAGGAAAGTAAATCGATCAATGAAGACAATTTCCCCTTCTCTAAACCAAGGTCCCAAGCCACCACATAGGAAGAGGGAACTCGGAATTTGAATTGGAAATAGGTTCCTGATGCTAGGAAGAAAGAGCATACAAAGAAGGAAATTTGGTTTTAAGTTGCCCATCCCCAATCCATAAGTATTCCCAAAACAAAATTTTCTAGCCAGTCCATGCATCATATCTGATATGGTTTAAAAATGGAAGAGAGGATGCAATGGATAGATTTCCAAAGAGAAGCAGTAGAAGACCTAGGAGATAACTTGGCATCCCAATTGTTGCTCGACGGTCCGTTAATGCTAATAATAACCTTGTGCTACAACCTGTTCTGCTCTAGAGGCAATCTCCACAACAATTTCTCTAGTGAAGTAATGTTCCTAAATGCTCTACCCACTTCAACTTGTTTGTCATGCTTTTCCTTGTCTCTGGCATTCTCCCAATCAATAATAAGGTGGTGATCTAACTCTTCCCATAGTCCTTCTAGTGTAGCAAAATATGTTGCAACACTCATATCTCCTTGCCTCAAGGCAGCAATGTCTTGATTCAGTCTGTAAATTCTKGCATTATTCTTTTTCTGCCCATAGGTTTTAGAAACTTTTTCCCATATCTTGGCAGCCGTGGAGAAATGTTGAACAGTCCTAGCTACTCTTGGAGTCATTGAGGCAAGTAGCCAGGACATAACTGTAGCATTCTCCTTGCGCCAAGCTGCATATTCAGCACTCCCCACTTCGGGTTCCTTCTTCTGCCCGTCCAAGTAACCRGTGAGTTCCCGGGATGTGATGAAMARCATGGCTGAGACAGACCATTCTCTGAAGTTGTACTCATCCAACAACACACTTGTGATCTGTAGGCTGTGCAGATTTGGATTCTCCAAATTAGGAGACCTCCCACAAGCCCTAACATCTCTAGAAGACACTTCCCCGGATATGGAAGACATCTTCTCTTACTCGTAAATGTCAAGACTATAAACACAATATATAGTGAACTGGTTCACACTTACAGAACTTGCTGCACTGTAAACTCAGTCCTGAGACCCCGACACAGAGCTGAAACACTAAGTACTACACTGCACACTGTGCCCTAATTACTGCTGTCACGGATTATAATCTGTTGTGCTACCTTCTGTTGTGTTCTAATCATTGCTGCCGCAGCCTGCAACTTGCTGTATTGGCTTCTACTGTGTGCTAAGCACTGCTATCGCAGGTTATAACCTCACCCACGAACAGTTCTAGGACTGTTGAGATTAGTCCTTCCGCCTAGATYTGTTCTACACAGATCTATCTTAGCCGAATGGCTACAGTCTGCTGTACTACGTCTATTAGGGCATCAGCCTCTGGRTCTAACTCCCCTTGGGCCCTACAACCAAGGGAAACCCTAGATGAAGGTCCAGTTGTGTTCTACGACCAACCCTAGGGTTTCTTCGCAGCAACCAAAAAAAAAAAGTGAGAGAGTTAAATGCGAGTAGAAGAGGCGGCTGCTGTAACCAGTCAAAAGATTAGTGCTCTGATACCATGTTTGCTGAAATAGAGCTATCGAATGAGAGGAGAAGAAGAAGAAGAAGAAGATATGAGATGGGCGGCAGAATATTCTCAGCCAACCCTAATCTATTATATATAAGAACATTACATAATGTTACAKAAATAGACYAGAATGCCCCTRATTAGTGATGGGACACCTAGTCAAAATAAACACTAAATAAGATTAGGCCCAGTAACTAAGGCCCAGTAACTAAGGCCCAATAACTAATGACTTAAGACCCAACAAAGATAAACATACAAATTAAGACTGCCGAACCAACAGATATATCATAGGCTTTCTCCAGATCCAACTTGCAAATAAAATCTTTTCTCTTCGTTTTTTCTTCTTTCCTCCACAATCCACAAATTCATTGGCAATGAGAATTTGTATCAACTATTTGTCCCCCTTGTACAAATGCACCTTAGAATGGGGATATTATATAAGGTAGAACCTTCCTACTCCTTAGAGATAGAATCTTAGAGGCTTCTCACCAAATTGATGGAACTAAAAGGTCTTTTGGGTGGCAAGCCCTAGTCTTCTTAGGAACCAAAGCAATGAAAGTTGTTTTTGGCCCTAAATTTATTATTCCCATGTCAAAGAATTCATTGAAAACCTCCAACAAATCTAGCTTTAATATATCCCAACAATCTTGATAAAAAGCTATAATCAAAACCATCAAGGCCCAAAGCTTTTGATCTTTCCATAGAAAAGACTACATATTTAATCTATTATAACTCAAACTTAGACTCTAAAAGCTCTTCCTACTCCCTACTCAAAACATCCCACTCTAGGTCAGGGAGCTCTACCCTATCCACCTCTTCATAGCAGAAGATAGTCTTGAAGTGATTCACAAATGCACCTAAACATGGTAAAAAATTTGAAATCATTGATTGACAACTTCGTGAAAATCTCAAATTTGAGAATAAATTGGAATAAAGTGGAATTATCGGAATCAACTGGGAAGAAGGGGAACTTCCAAGCTTTGCAGAGGTGCTGGATTATGAAGTTAGAAATTGAACTATAGCATATCTGTTGGAAGGGTAAGGATCCATCATATGGATGGCCAAACCATGCTAGATGGCTGAGCAAAATTTTAAAAATTTCCTAATCTTTCTGGGAATCAAATTCCCTATGTTTTGAAAAACTACATTTTTCAGGATTGATCTTGCATTGAACCATACCAGATTTGAAACCAAACAAAAGAGGGAGATGCATACCTGATATGGATACCACAAATGCAGATCCCAAGGTGGAAGTTCACGCCCAAATCAGTCCTAAAAAGAGCCTCCACTGAAGATGGCATAGTGTATAGGTGAAGTTGATTCAGCAACACAATTTTCAGCAAAGCTGAGATCCAACTGCTTGGATCAAACTAAGGATGATGAGCCTGATATTCCCTGAATTTTTCTTGGAAAAATCAGAGGAAAAATTATCTAAATCAGTCCCAGATAGCTGATGTTGAACTGGGGAAAAACTAGGAGACAAAAGGGTGCAGAGAGAACCAGAAATTGCAAAACTATGAAGCTGTCTTGGACTGGTCTGCCCCCTCCTCTTTTATAATCTCTTATGGAGCTATCTCCTAATTAGATTATGAGATAATCCAAATCTAAATCAGATCTGGACTCTAATTAGAGATATACTTTATCTTCTTATAAGATTAGGTGCTCCATACCTAGATCCAAACCCATACTCACCCCATGGCAATTGCCATGTGCCATCTTAATTAACATATTGTGAACGTCAGGAAAATGCCCACGGCAGTTCACTTCATGGCCAAATATATGGAGTCACCACCCATAAAAAATAAATAATTGGGAGTGATGGGCTTCCCGGGTTTAAATTTCACAAAGCATTTGGGATTAACAGTGACTCCACACTATTCGGCCAGGACAAGGCTATTCAGGGTAAGCTGAGAGGGAGAGAGGGAAGGGGTTAGGCACCCCTCTCTCCGGTCAGTGTGAATACTAAAATTCCCTCTTTGCACTTTAAACAATAAGCACTTTCAGAATTGAATTAAGGGCCTGCATTCCCTCGGATTGAAAGTTTAAGGTGACTATGGATTCATTGCTCTCCTCCTTTAGGCCAAACCCCTTTTGGACACAAGGGCCTGAGCAAAAGGGTGAGATTCACCCCTTTTCTGTCAGGACCCCCGCCTTCG